ACGTGCAACGTTAACAGCTAGGTTGTTTCTTAAAGAAAAGAAAGAAAAATATTAATCCATATCCTTATTGAGTAATGTTTACTAGATAAACTAATAAGAATGGATATGTCAGACATAGTAGCAAGCTCCTCAAAAACAGCCCGTTATATGGGTAAAAAAGTAAAAAATACAAAATTAAGTTAATACAATTCTGAATTAGAAAGTCTAAATAAATGGACTATCCTAGATGTTCCTAATAGAGATATCTATAAAGTTGGTTTTTTAGATTATAAATCTTTAATTGCAATTAAGACTCTTGAACGAACCACTATGGTAGATCGAGATGAACAAACCATCCAATTACTTGGACCAATTGATATAGATCCATATATGGACAAGTATAAATACCTACATATAGGATTAATACAAATAGTTTTTAAACCTTTGACATTACCATATATGGACAAGTATAAATACCTACATATAGGATTAATACAAATAGTTTTTAAACCTTTGACATTACAAGGGTTAAATGCATCTATATTAACTTGTTTAAGAGATGCAAGATGTTAATTGGACCCAATCTTTGATGGGAATAATGGAAATCAGCTTATGTAATTGTCGAATCTATTTTAATGTTTATCCTAATTGAAGCCTGTCATTAACAGATCCTAATATCTTTGAGGCAATAAGCCTAAATATTAAAACACATGGATATAATTTCTTATCAGGATCAGAAACTATTGCTATTATATATAGAATCCATAAATATTAAAACACATGGATATAATTTCTTATCAGGATCAGAAACTATTGCTATTATATATAGAATCCATTATAAAATTCTGACTACTTTATAATTTCTTATCAGGATCAGAAACTATTGCTATTATATATAGAATCCATTATAAAATTCTGACTACTTTAACCTCAAAGGCTTTCATTCTAAACCAGGTAAAACAGTTTTAGTAGAAACTAATATTTTGACATCAAATGTCGTAGTAAATAAACAAATCAAATGGGATAAAATAAATTTCCCAGATAGTTGCGTTATACCCAATGCTATTCAACCTCAACCAGTAATTAATCAAGATATAGATCAAATTACTTAAACGGTAGATGGTGAAGTAGAAATTACTTTTAATCCATCTAGAACTATTCGATTGTCTGATGTCACTACTACATCTACTTCTAGAAGATCTATATCAAGATCAGGTTCTTATAGAACCACTGAAATAAAAGGTATTAATATCCCAGATAATGAAATACACATGCAATTTATAATAAGGAAGAGAAATTCTCTCCTTCAAATTCTGAACTTAATTTTCGAATGAAATAAATGGATTTCGAAGAAGGTAGTTTATTTCGAAAATTTCTGAATCAAGAATTTTTTGAATCAAAACATGAAGCTTTTAGAAAATGTTTTTTTTAAAACTTTCTCTAAAAGAGAACAATTAAAGTTTAAAGAAAAATTATAAAGAATTAAAGTTAAAACAAAAATTAGAATTTTTTGTGCCATGGTTTTTGAAATATTATAGTAGACGCTATAGTTGATAGAGTATGCAATTTTGAATTACTTTACTTTTTAGATAAAATTTCTATTAAATCAAAAGATATTTCGCTACTACTTTTAAAGCCCAAAATATCCATAGGTGGTTTTATAGTAGCCTTATCAAAATTAGATATTGGAATTTTACCTTTTTCTATCATTTTTAACGAAGGTAAAATATCGTTTAATTTTTTGATTAATTTATCAAGAACATCTTCAATCCTGATTAATTGTTGACTTACAACTTGAAGATGTACATTTTTATAATTATTTTTTAATAATTTTATTTAGTTCTTTAAGAGCTTCTTCTTGAGAATAACTAGGCTTTATAAAAGCTGCTGTTTCTAGATTAGTAGTAGTACTTCCTAATCTTGATAATCTTAAAGGATCTGTAGGCGGATTGGGCGGATAAACAGATCTAATTATTGCCCCTGTACTTGATTTTCACTGTTTGTAGTGTTCTTCAAGTACTCCTATTTGCTTTTCATGTTTTTTGAATATAATATTTCAAAAACCATGGCACAAAAAATTCTAGTTTTTGTTTTAACTTTTATTCTTTATAATAAAATTTTTAAACTTTAATTGTTCTCTTTTAGAGAGTTTTAAAAAACAATTTTCTAAAAGCTTCATGTTTGATTCCAAAAATTCTTGATTCAGAAATTTTCAAAATAAACTACCTTCTTCAAAATCCATTTATTTCATTCGAAAACTAAGTTCAGAATTTGAAGGAGAGAATTTCTCTTCCTTATTATAAATTGCATGTGGTATTTTATTATCTGAGATATTAATACCTTTTATTTCAGTGGTTCTATAAAAAGCTGATCTTGATATAGATCTTTTAGAAGTAGATGTACTAGTGACATCAGACAATCGAATAGTTCTAGATGGATTAAAAATAATTTCTACTTCACCATCTACCGTTTGAGTAATTCGATCAATATCTTAATTAATTACTGGTTGAGGTTGAATAGCATTGGGTATAACCCAACTATCTGAAAAATTTATTTCATCCTATTTGATTTGTTTATTTACTACGGCATTTGATGTTAAAATATTAGTTTCTACTAAAACTGTTTTACCTGGTTTAGAATGAATTTTAGCCTTTTGGGCTAAAGTAGTCAGAATTTTATAATGGATTCTATATATAATAGCAATAGTTTCTGATCCTGATAAGAAATTATATCCATGTGTTTTAATATTTGGGCTTATTGCCTCAAAGATATTAGGATCTGTTAAGGACAGACTTAAATTATGATAAACATTAAAATAGACTGGACCATTACATAAGCTGGTTTCCATTATTCCCATCAAAGATTGGGTCCAATTAAGACATCTTGTATCTCTTAAACAAGTTAATATAGATGCATTTAACCCTTGTAATGTCAAAGGTTTAAAAACTATTTGTATTAATCCTATATGTAGGTATTTATACTTGTCCATATATGGTTCTATATCAACTGGTCTAAGTAATTGGATGGTTTGTTCATCTCGATCTACCATAGTAGTTCGTTCAAGAGTCTTAATTGCAATTAAAGATTTATAATCTAAAAAACCAACTTTATAGATATCTCTATTAGGAACATCTAGGATAGTCCATTTATTTAGACTTTCTAATTCAGAATTGTATTAACTTAATTTTGTATTTTTTACTTTTTTACCCATATAACGGGCTGTTTTTGAGGAGCTTGTTACTATGTCTGACATATTCATTCTTATTAGTTTATCTAGTAAACATTACTCAATAAGGATATGGATTTAATATTTTTCTTTCTTTTCTTTAATTAAGAACTTAGTTGGTAATTTTGTGGAACGTCACCCAAATCGCGCTGTGTAAAGCCCTGTTGTAGCCAAGAAGACATATTAGGGTAGTGTAAGTCGTTGACAGACTAGATGAGGTGGCAACTATAATTAAGGAAGGGTAATGTGGTAAAAGAAATAAATATCTAAATAAGAAAAAGTTCTCATTTTCCGTTATCTCTGCTGTTCCCCACTCACGACTTCCCCCTTCCTTGCGATCGGCTTTTAAAGCAAACTGAAAATAAAAATGCAACGGAAATGAAGACACTGAAAATCAGAAGGTAACCAAGAGAAATCCAAGAAATGAAGGCATTTGACATGGATCCATAAGATTGTCAAAAATGAAGGCATTTGACATTGATCCATAAGATTGTCAACAAGCTCGCACTTAAAAGAAACAAGACTTTCGCTTATCCAATAGACTCTTCAGACTTCCTTTTCCAGAATCTCTCTATCCCGGTAAGAAATTGTATCACAAAAAGTAACCTATAAATTGGGTGCAAGGCTATTTTGTTTCAGAAGATTCAACTTGACAAATCAAGTAAGAGAATATGCAATTTTCATCTTCTATGATTTTCATCTTGTTGATGCTCGTCGGCAAATGATGCTTGTTGGAAAAGAGAAGGCGCAAAAAGCCAGTGGTGGCATTGGACAATAGCTTAAGTATCAGAAAATTTAATTGGGTGATCGAAATTATGAGGGATCGGGTGCAGAGGTGGAGCTGTTTGCGTAAGCAAAGGTTGTAGGCTCCACGACGATAGGGAAGGCCGATCTCTGCAGGGAAGAAGAGAGAGAACCAGAAAGAAGAGGGAGAAGAAATGTCCAGAGTTGATGTTAACCTTTCTGGTCTCTAAATAATTTTACAATATTACCCTAAACCAGTAAACGCGTGCCACCTCAGTAGATGAGATTTTGATCATCAAATTAATTCAATGGTCAAAAAATCAGATGAATAAGAGCCACTGTCCACTAAAGTCGATGGTACCTCTAGCAAACCCCAAAATACATTGAATACCCATATATATGAAAATAATGTGCTGTCACCTTTTAACTGTATCATAACTGTGCATAATTTTGTCACTTCTTAACAAAGCAGAGTTTTATGTCATATACTCTGCACCATTGTCATTAGGGAAATATGCCCCACGTGTCTTCAACACCAAATTATGCAAGAGCAACTCCATGAGTATTAGGTTTACCTATGTGGGTATCTATTCTTGTTCTCCTTTTGTTGTCCTACGCTGTCTCCCCAGGATGTAAATAAACTTTGTCTTCCCTATAAGTTCCTTGCGATTGTGGAAAGCTGCACCTTGGGTATAGATATGCCCTATTATTATGTGCCATGTTACTGGCTGTTAATGTCTCTGGAACAGCCAGAGTTAGCTATGCTTTTCTGGGATCCTGGCCAGTTCATAAAATTTTTGAAATGGTGCACTGGATTTATGTTGTCAGACTACTTGTTTTTAATTTTTTGAATATTAAAATTTGCTTGTCTAGTTTATGAAGTTTCAGGATGTGTGTAGTTATGAACTAGATAATTTATCAAATCAGCAGCCCAGCCAGCCTGGACACACTTCTCTTGCTCTAAGTTTTGTTTTTTCACTTGCGTAGACGTGGAAGGATAAACATGCTATTTTTATTTTGTAGTTTAATTGAATCATCATTTATTATGCAGGTTATCCCACGACAACTTTCGGATAATGCTGGATTTGATGCAACTGATGTCCTGAATAAACTCAGACAGAAACATGCATCTGGTTAGATTCTTTGTATTACTTAACATCACAATTGAAAAATACTCATCTACAAATGTTAAACTGTTAAATAATTATCACAGGTGATGGTGCAAATTTCGGTGTCGATATCAACACAGGTGGAATTGCAGATTCCTTTGCTAACTTTGTATGGGAACCTTCAGTTGTGAAGGTATATAAAGCTCTCTCTTTGCATCAGATTTTATTTTCCCATTGTGCATTACTATCTATAACCTTCAACCTTGACCACAGATTAATGCTATAAATGCCGCTACCGAAGCTGCTTGTCTTATCCTGAGTGTGGATGAAACCGTCAAGAATCCAAAGGTATTTATTCTTCTTCCTATTCGTTTAGCAAAAGGATTCTAGGTTAACGCGCCTGCTGCTCTTTTAAGTCCTGCATGTGATCTTTGTATTATACTCTCACGTGTATGTACTCCTGTATGTCATACTTGCCGTTTCCCCCTTTTGTGAAGCACATGTGCGGGTAGTGAATATTGCATATTTTGCACTTTCACAAGTAAAACCTAGCTGTCCCTTTGTCATTTTAAAATTTCATGTAGCAAAAACCATGGGCATACCCATGCTATCATCGCCCTCTGTCCATATAACACTGCAATGCATGTATAATTGAAAATATATAATGTGTTCTAAGCATTATTTTGATCTAGCTTTTCATGTTCCTGAATATAGGAGTGCTAATCAAGGTCCATGGTAATTTCATTCTTGGGATATTACTTCAATTATTCTGGATTGTAGAACTTAATGTTAGATTTTTCTTATTAACTTCATTGTTATTCTATTTGTATGTGTTGAATGAACCCCATTTGTGACTCTGAAGTTTAATGCCTCAAGTTAGATCGTCAACTTTCTGTGTCTGAGTAGTGTCTACGATATCAGTTATAATCCACTTTGTGTGCTTTATAGCTGTCAATTGTTAAGCATTTTCACACACTTCTGTTCTAAAAAAAGGTATTAGTTGATGTTGATAATTTGATATAACCTACCCCTTAAACATGCACATGTAAACACAACCATAGTCACATCCCCTCAACAGCAACCGCCCCGCTTCCCCCTCCCTTTCCGTGCGGGGGTTGGGGGCAAAAACAAAAAAACAACTCCGCTGTACCTCCCATCTGCTCCTGCCTGATAGTACATGCTTTTTGCACATGTTCTGTTTCTTTCGCTTTTTCTTCATAATAATCCCTGCTTTTGTATCTCTGCCGCGGGCCTACATTGTGTTTTGATTACTCGTAGACCATTATTAATGAAGTATGTCTCTGGCTTTCACACGTGGGATCTTTCCTTACCACAAGAAAATCAATTCTCTGCACTAATGTTCAAAACTTTATTTTGGATAAACTTCAGAAAACCCATCTAATGGTGTTAACAGCAATTTTCACATTGGTGGGTATATGGATATTTTTGCTAGTGAAAATTGTGATACATGCTTTTGGATATGTTTTATTGAAAAATGTTGAAAGTTGAAGGGATTTTGTGACAGGTTAAAAGTTAAGGGGGTTATTTGAGAAATGCCCCAACATTTTGGTGTTTGGAGGGGTGAGCTGTGAAGTTTTTCCTTTTTATTTATTCAAGGGTAGAATTTCTTGCATGATTATTGGAAATATGTTGCTTCACGGGACCTTTTTTTCTTGAAGAAAAGGCGTATTTAAAGAAAAGATTTTGGATCATTCTGCCTCTCCGTAATGTTTTGCTGCTATGCTTTCCTGTCTTTAGTTTCTTTTTCATCCCTTAGGACACTCCCATCTTCTATCATAGCCTGTGCCCGCAAGGTTCTTTGACTCCAACTAGAACTACAGAAACTCTTTCATACCTGCCATCTATTGCCTTATCTACCTTCTGTTGCCCCTTCAACTGCTCACCCAATCTAAACTCTTCTCTGCTACTTCTTTGTAACCATCAATCATGTAAAGTTCCTAGTTTCAGATTATAACTTCCTAATGAGCCCATTACTTTTAACTCGAAATTTCTCTTTGTAGTTCTAAGAATACCTAAACCTGAGCTCAAGAAAGATATGATGTTGAACTTAATACTTTTTAAGGGCCACAGGAAAGCCTTTTAACTATGTCACTGGCGGAGGATCAAAGGCATGGTTTGAAGCAGTGACCAATCCCTATGCCGTCATCCATACTGCGTAGGCTGAGTATGACATTTAGATTCAGCCAATATGCTAAAATAAAGACTAATCGATGCTATTTTGCTGACAAAACTGATGTAGGAATTCTGAAGTTTAAAGGAACACAAGTTTATTTAAAATAATTTATTGGAATAAAATAAAAAAGAAAATCAGTGAATGGGAACTTTATGATTAATTTATTAAATGTACTTCTAGTTCAATTTTTCGTTGAATATATGGAATAGAAAATACAAATTTGGATGGAGTGTGACCCATGTTGCCAAAAGTAAAATTACCATAAAAGGTGTGATACATGGATAGATAGATAGTTGTATCGGCATATACTTTAATAAGTATAATACTATTCTTAGTAGATTTATATTACTATTACGCAATTCAATCATATTCTATAAACGAAATTCCACCGACTACCAAAAGGAATCCACGAATTCTTTTTTGAACATGAAATTTGTTGTGCTAAAAAAAAGGAAACTCTATAACTAGTTATGATTTATCAAACCATCGAAAGTGTAGGCACACCAAAATGATATTATTCCATTCAAACTTTGGTGAGAACATACCTGTGAGTCTGAAACACGGTTACTTTTGATTAAAACATCGAACTAGAGTTAGCTTTTTATATTTCCATTTTACAAGAGGTTTATCTTTTTTGTTCCTTTGGAGCTTGCTCTTAAGGGCCAAGAATGGCAGGCATATTGATCGAAGAAACTAATCGTCAGAGTCTTAACTGGCTTGATCTGAATTTTCTTCACTGAATAGAAGGACTTAAATCAGTGTAGATTATGTATTTCGTAATTCTAGATCTACAGGAACTACAGCCTTATTGAGGTTTGTAAATTCACATTTAGGGGTTCAGTCTGGGTAAGGTACAGGTGAACTCTTAAGGGCCTGCGCCAGACTTATGAGGTTCTTAGGTAGCTTTTTTTTTTGTTGTGTGTGTGTGTGGGGCTATTTGTCGCGCGTCAAAGTGTCAGATTTTGTTGCATTTGATTCTTCCCGTACTCTGTCAAGTAGTCGGCTTTTGTTTTACATTTGATTATTTGCATATTCATGTCACGGTGAGAAGTAGCATTTCATTCCATATGTCAAAACGCCCTAAAATTTCACATTCTACTCGAATGCTTGAAAGAATATTAAACTGATCTTATTTACTTGCCTAACCTGCAGCATAAGTGCTGCGTACCCATTTATATTATTAAAATCAAATTTCATCCTAATGGGATAGAAATCATTGAAACGGTGAAGTTTTCTATAACTATGTCAATAAGTATGTATTTGATCTCAGTCGGAGAGTGCACAAGGAGAGGCTGCTGCAAGTGCTATGGGTGGTCGGGGGTGTGGAAGAGCAGCCTTCCGAGGAGGTCGAGGCGGAAGAGGCATGCGGAGGCGGTGAATTTTTTATTTATTTTAATACGGAGTGTTTTATTGTGTGGCAGCTTTCGAGTTCGATATTGTCCTGTTGGATTGTATCGCCTCGTGTCTGTTGAGTGGAGTTGAGAAAGGCTGACCTCTTGTAAACTTAAAATGGTGTTATGTACTGTGGTATTCTGTTTGGAGTTTTCAGTTATAGATGGCTTCCATTTCCAGCTTGCTTAAAAACAAAATGTGATGCTCCATTTAGATTTTTAGATTAGTGCATTTGAGAGTTTGACAGTTTGTTCACGGGCGTCTTAACTTTGCTTGTTCCTTTTTTTTAAATTGTGTGATTTTTGGGGTTCTACCCAATGGTATATTATTTGTCAAGACTTTTTCTGAACGTAATTTTTTATATTTAGTGGAAACTGACGTCTTGTTGCTTGTTTTTATTTGGGTTTTTGAACTTCGTGCCCCAGGGATTCCTTTTTTTTGTACTCTCCAAATTACAGGTATTTTTAAAAGAACCATTGTAATTGCGGCTTTCCCCCTCAAATTGTATGTCTTTCTAATTTATCCTCAACCTGATTGATGTTAGAATTTTGTGGTACGATTACGTTTATGTTGCTTAATTTAAATTTTGGAGGGAGAGAAACAAACCTCCAATAACGCAATCCCCTTGGGATTTGCCGCTGATCTTTGCTCTGTTTCTCACTGAACTGTCTGATTTATGCACGAGGTTGAGGATGTCAAGCCGGAGGGTACTAGTGAGTGGCTATAGTGCTGCTATAGATCAATTAAGAGAGAGAGAGAGAGAGAGAGAGAGAGAGAATCTAGGATTGTTATGTAACAATGGAGAGAGAGAGAGAGTGAAACTAGGATTGTTATGTAACAGTGTATTTTGTTCTCTGTACAAAATACATAAATAAGCGAAAAAAAGTCATCTACAATTTACTATACTACAAACATTAGCATGGAAAAAGGTCAAAAACATAAACATTTGTCTTAAGAATATACTATATATACCTAACCACTTATAATAAACATGTAATAGCTTGGCAGGATATTTCAACTTACATAGTAAACCAGACTGCTAAAAATACGAAGTGGATTTGAAAATAATTTACTAGAAATGAATTGTTCTTGCATTTAATATGTTTTTTTATTTTCCTCTATTTAGCCGGTTGACTTTATATTTTTCCTTTAAAAGGTAGATGTCTTTCTTTCTTTCTCTGCCCTGATGGCTATAAATTTTCTCTGTAGATGATATCCGTGTCCCTCTCCTTATTTGATCTCCTATTTCTCGTGTCCTTTTCCTTGTCTCATTGTTTATCATCTAGTTTTTACCCCGAACAGTGCATGAGACCTACTAATAAACTTTCGTTATTCTCCAAAAATTATTAGTAAAAAAAAAATATCTATATCGATTTTGATGTAACGTCTCATCATAAATTTACTATTAATACGTACTTGAATATTTATCACAGTATTAATAAAAAGTATTACGAAGTTGAAAAGAATAGATATCAAACAAAACACTCGCATAGTACAAAAGAGAAACCTTAAATTTCTCATGAACAATATTCCTCTTCCAAGGAATAATATTCAGAAAAATAGCATTAGTTACAGAATCAAACATAGAATAACAGATGTCAAGGAATCCGGTTATCCAATGGTACCTAACCGATTCCGCACGAAATCAAATTAAAACACAAAAACAACCAAATAATAGACTAATTAAAATCCCCATAAAAGGTATAAATCCAACAAAAGAGTGTAATCATTAAAAGATGATCAAATATCCACATCTTATGAAATATATGGAAAATTGAGTGTAATCATCAAAAGATGGTCAAAGACCTACACTAGCGGTTATGTTTGTTCATATCTCCAAGGAAACCATCCTGCACTGAATATTTTTATATTTAGAGATGGTGTGAATCGCCCGCCAAACACTATTGATCTTCCTCCTAATCATATACGGTCAATGTGATAGAGCAACACTTTGTCCTTAACTTCTATGATTGCGATAGTTTAAGTCTTATTATTGCTCAATATTCTCTTTGATATAACTGAATTCGTCCAATGAACAAATACAATTCTTTTTACTATTTGTTTTAAATACTTCACAATGATACTTAATCATTTTGTGTGTGATTTTTGATGTGATTTATCTCTTGATTCATTTAAAAAAAAAATATTTGCTAAATATTACACATGTGATGATGACAAGCGGACAACAAGCTGCGCCGCTAATCCTTTCTGAATTGTAAAACCCAACCTACGAAACACATACTCAGCGGACCCTGTTGTTGCTACATTCTTATTCATGAATTTTTGTACCCTTCTGAGGAACTCCACCGCATCAGCTGCAAAGAAACCAAACGTATCGAAAGCGAACGGGATGAAGCTGTGGTGGTTGTCATTGCAAGCTTGATTCATATGTTTTGTGATTAGTTTTTTTACCCCATGTGCTATTTTTTCTATAACTTTTTGTGTGAACCGGTGCGTATTTCTCTTCCTTACACCTTTGGATACTTTTTATCTGAATTTCTCGAGTATGAAGTGTAACCACTAGCGTATTTTTAACTTTTGCTATTAAAAAAGGGGAGAATTTGATGAAATTTGAAACTTTTTTATGATCTTTGCATTAGTAGAGTTTTTACCTATAAGGGGTTTCATGTTCATGTTTTTGTTTTCTGAACATTTTTGAAGCACCCGATGCATGTTTTAAGGGGGAGTTTTTATAATACATGTGCTTGATTACACTTTTCATGAATGTTTGAATGTACGGGAAACTTTGCATATCATTTATTTATTCTTTTCTTTTTTATTTATTATTACTATTGCGTGAAAATGTATTTTTACTTATTGTTGCTATATATATATATATATATATATATATATAATTCATGTATTTCAAATTTCAAGTTCGTTACTATTAAAAGGGAGAGATTGTTACAATACAATACGTACAATAGCTGTTATTTGAGTAATAACAACATCTCATTTGGTAATATTTATTTGAGATGGTATAGTACAGATGAATACAGGTATAAACTGTGTAATATATATATATATATATATATAATTCATGTATTTCAAATTTCAAGTTCGTTACTATTAAAAGGGAGAGATTGTTACAATACAATACGTACAATAGCTGTTATTTGAGTAATAACAACATCTCATTTGGTAATATTTATTTGAGATGGTATAGTACAGATGAATACAGGTATAAACTGTGTAGGAGGGAAGCAACACTTAAATCAACTCAAATGCTTATTTTAGTCGCTGTACCATTGATGGTCATTAGTGACCCATTGATGGTTCAAAGCTCATTGGTGGTTATAGGAACTAATTAATGAATTGTAGAGATAAAATTTCAGCACAACTATACTTTAGAGGCACCCATTAATGGTGCTGAGGTACCCATCAATGGTTGTAAGCAACCATCGTTGGTAAAGTCAACTGATTTCAGATTTGATGATTTAATCATAGTCATTCGTCGCTCCTTTTGGATCTCCAAACTCTACCACATTTAGGTCTTTCATGATCTATTGAACTATAGATCATTAAAAGAGAGAGAAAAGAAAGAGTTTTAGCGTTTTAATTTGAGAAGAGATTTCATTAAATGTTTTGACCCGTGGAACATCGACAATCTCTTACTCACAACGTACAACATTATCGGATCTATCATAGCAATGAGAGTTGCCATTGGATTGATCTTCATCACCATTCTTCATCAAACTTCTCTTATATCCTTCGAATGACGTTTTGTTTTATTAAACATGCAGTAATATCTTTTTGTATTGCGCTTGATTGGTATTGATTTATTTGATATAAACTTGTTTTTATGACATATTTAAGCCGGTGTGAATTGAGGATTTGGGGCCTACTCAAGCTGAGGTGAATTAAAGAATTGTATCTAGCTAGTGTTAGGTGTTACTCATTATGAAGAGTTAGGTTAGACTACTGGTTTCAGGTAGACTCTAAGGTACGATCTTTGTAAGCCTACTGAATCAGTTTGTAATTCAGAAAAACTCTAGTCATAGTGAGGAAACCCCTTCATACGAAAGAAGAGTGAATGTAAGATTATTATCTGAACCACTATAAAATCTTGTGTGTCCTTAGTTTTTTTTAGAGGAAAACAGTACCCTTGGGTCTCTCTCTCCATTCATCTCACTCCCCTTCACTCTCCATTCATTTATCTCCCTCTTCTTCCTTCCCTTGGGGCATCAGCGATCAAGTGATAGAGAGGCGGTGTGAGGATCAGGTGATAGAGAGGCGGCGATGGTGAGGAACCACCGGCGAATGACGACCAATAGCGTGAACGACGATTATCTTTCGTCGGGGAGAAGCTATATATGTTTTAGAAAATTTCCCCATTATCATCCTTTGATCTCGATCCCTTCCTATTGTTATCTCTCTGTCGACTGCGTGCTATGAGGTCTTCTAATCAAACTTCTAATCAACTAAGATTGTTTCTATTTATTGTGAAACTTTTCTATGGATATGAGTTTGTTTGTGGTTTACTGGCTCCGTTTGGATACCATGGTGTTTTACTTATTTTTATAGTGTTTTTGCCAAAAACAAAACACCATGCGTTTGGAAACCATGGTGTTTTTAAAGCTAAATCATCCTCAAACCAAAAACACAACACTTATTTTAAAATATCTTTTAGGTGTTTTAATTTTGGTGTTTTGGTTTTGAGTTTGAGATGTGTTAATATAATAACTAACATAATATATTAAACGTAATTAATATAGTGTTATTATCAACATGCTTATTATATTATACTATACTATATTATATTATAGTTAATTTAATATATTAGTAATATTTATTAAATAATATAAAATATAATAAATAAAATATCTTATATAATAATATAATAACATATTAAATACCAATATTTAATATGTTAATAATGTATTATATAATAAATAAATAATAATAAAATATAAATAAACTAATAAAAAATAATAAAAAAGTTATTGATAATACTATAACAATATAATAATGAATAATATAACTATACAATATTATAATCGCTATAATATTATTAACATTTTAATAAATAAATTGTATAAATTAATTAATTATATATATATAATAGTAAATATATAATAATAAACATAATAATATAATAATAATATTATAATAACATATTGTATAGTAAATGTAATATTATATATATAAAATATTCATATACTTATGTAATAAATATACTATAATTTATTATAAGTAAATATTTTTAATAATAAAATAATTTATTTCTAAGAAATGTTAATGTAAAATAA